CCCGTGTTGAGATTGCGCTGGAACCCCCATTCCCTATACTACTGAGTAGTTATTGTGAAACAAGGCAAATAATGTTGATGCATAATACACTTTTCACTGCTGAAGTGCGATATCATTTGCAATTGTACCTTTACCTTTTATTGATATCTACGCTATGTGTCTCGCTTTGAATGTCTCGGACTTGCCTGCATTATTTTTGTTCCCTGGGTTCCTTGGTTCCCTGGTTGTTTGGGGGTACCCCTGACCTTGGTTCCCTGGTTGTTTGGGTTGCCCTTGACCTTGGTTTCCTGGTTGTTTGGGGTGCCCCTGACCTTGGTTCTCTGGTTGTTTGGGTTGCCCTTGACCTTGGTTCTCTGGTTGTTTGGGTTGCCCTTGACCTTGGTTCTCTGGTTGTTTGGGTTGCCCTTGACCTTGGTTCTCTGGTTGTTAGGGGTGTCCCTGACCTTGGTTTCCTGGTTGTTGGGGGTGCCCCTGACCTTGGTTTCCTGGTTGTTAGGGGTGCCCCTGACCTTGGTTTCCTGGTTGTTGGGGGTGCCCCTGACCTTGGTTTCCTGGTTGTTGGGGGTGCCCCTGACCTTGGTTTCCTGGTTGTTTGGGGGTACCCCTGACCTTGGTTCCACTGTTGTTAGGGGTGCCCCTGACCTTGGTTTCCTGGTTGTTTGGGGGTACCCCTGACCTTGGTTCCATTGTTGTTGGGGGTGCCCCTGACCTTGGTTTTCTGGTTGTCTGGGGTGCCCCTGACCTTGGTTTCCTGGTTGTTTGGGGGTACCCCTGANCCCTGACCTTGGTTTCCTGGTTGTTTGGGGGTACCCCTGACCTTTGTTCCATTGTTGTTGGGGGTGCCCCTGACCTTGGTTTTCTGGTTGTCTGGTTGTCTGGGGTGCCCCTGACCTTGGTTTCCTGGTTGTTTAAGGGGTACCCCTGACCTTGGTTCCATTGTTGCTGGGGGTGTTGCTGATCTTGGTTCCATGGGTATTTGTGGGTACTCCTGACCTTGGTTCCATGGTAGCTTGTGATGCCCCTGACCGTGGTTCCATAGTTATTTGGGTTACCTCAGGACTTGGTTCCCTGGTTGTTTGGGGTGCTCCTGAACGTATCGGGAAGCAAATCGTGTGTTGAATGGGGCTCAAAACTATACGCACGATTTGCACAGTGGGATCAATGAGCATGCTATTGTTTTTATCATTTACTCGTTAACTGATGTCCAGCTCTCATTATACTGTTTCTATTCAAGGGCTGTCCCAACTTGGCGTCAGGGTTTGTCATAGAAGAGCAAAGGGTTAGACACTGAATATGCTATACAGAAAAGAACATCTTACGCAATTGTATAATTGTATATATAAATAAAAATTTGTATCGGGATTATATATGATTGTTATTGTTTTTGGTACATTTTTTTTAAGAAATAGAAAACGCGCGTGCGTGGTATGTGCAGTATAAAGAAATCGGGGGCTGGCAGAACAGGAGAAAAAAGTTTCAGGAAAAGCACGACGCGTAGTGGAGCAAGAAAGTTTTTTGTCTGTTTCTTGGGTACCCCTGACCTCTCGGTTGATTTGTGTTGATATTGGCCGTTTGCCGTTGTTGCGTCTCCATCTCCAGAGTGTTTTCTTATTGTCGATATATGTGGTTCATGGATTTCTATACCACTGTCCCTATTGATCTCATTAGGGTGGAGTCGGATCTGACTCCCTTGTATATCATTGGGGGTATTGAACTATGCATTTAACATCCTTCCCGCCAGGGAAAATCCGGTCTTGTACATGTGTGCTCATTTATTCTTTCTTTAAACTGGTCTTCCTGTTTCTCCAATGTATATTACTGCATTACGTTATATTACTACGGGCCTGAACTATAAACCCGGGATAGGTTTTTAATTAAAGGTCCTTTTACTGGATGTGAACTTCATGAGACCATGATGGAGCGACTTCTTCGCATCCAATTAAACTGAACCTTTTCATAATCGAGAAGTATATAAAACACTTCATTTGGATATACCCAATGACATCGTAAAAGAAGTAGAAGCAGGCTTTTGCTATGGTTGTTTTTTAATAAATTTTCAAGTCTGTTTATAAAGGTTCAAACGCTAGGGCGCGGCCCTCGGTCTTGAATTCTAATGCAAAACCGAGCCCGTGCGTTTGAACTGGTTTAAAATATCAACTAAGCCCTAAATTCCATTGTTTCGATGCAAAACACKAAATACTAAATTATAATGAATTCAGAGAGATAGATTACTGTTGCTTTGTTCTTTTGGAAATAGAGTGATTACAATATATCCGTGTAATTAAAAACTTATCCCGGGTTTATAATTCTGCACCGTTCTCCCCTGTTGATATCAATTCCGCCCCCGGCTTTGGATTTAGGGTGTGGTTAATTTTTAAACCTTCTAACCATCTCTCAAACCATATTCGTGTACATTTAGGTTCTTTTTATCAATTTTATTAATATTTTTGTTTTGCGATGACCAAAACGTTTAACTTTTCGATTATAAAAAAGGTCCTTTCAATGAACATGGAAAAGTCGTTATCTCGTGGTCTCATGAAGTTCAAAAACATAACATTTCGATTATTATGCTGTTATACTTGGCCTTGAATTAATTTGTGCCAAAACAATGTTTTTTTTTTGCATTTGCAAGTAGTTTTGCCTCGAAAACAACCGGGAACTGCAATTCTGTGGTGTGTACAGCCGTGTGGAATTAATTTGTAAAGAATAAAAGGCGGAGAATTCAAGTTTAGTGAAATCTTTTGGCAGTCAACTGCTCCCAAGCAAATTTATTTTGAACTAGGAAAGCACAGCTCGACTTTTTCAGATGAAGATCGCTTAACTGTACTAAACATAACCAACAATGGTTCTAATATGTTAATCAAAGACTTTTCAAAGCATTTGTTTAGACAGGAACGGTTTACACTATGGCGGATTATCAGGGGGAGAAAACATTTATAAGGTCTATATCTATTCGAGTATCTTAAAAATATATAGTTAAATAAAAATTAAAAGAATTTCAAAAACAGAGTTGGGTAACTATAAATTTTAGGTCACCCATCCAAGTACTAATCTCAACCAACCGTGCTTGACTCAGTGTCTTGTTAGCCCTAGTTTTTTCCACTAGGCCACGATTTAAGAAATTAGCACAACAATAGCCATGACAACAAAGCACCAGATAGACTAGATTATTTTCCACTTCAAATCACCGTGCCAGTGCGTGGCAGAGTGCAAGGGATTAGCTGTAGATATGGTCTGGGGGCCGGCTAGTCTCTCCCCTGATGCTTCGGCTAGAACACTATACTGCGTAATCCGTACACCCAAGGGCAGAGGGACTTAATCGCCGTCATGTYCGAAGTCCATACGATGACCCAGCGGATGTCTCGGGGTATGGCATGAAGGCACTTTTTTTTCCCTCCTTTATTTTGGTATTAATTATGTAATTAAAGTTGGTGGACGTGGGTTCGATCCCCACCGTATCAAGAGTACTTTTTTCTACTTCTCTTCTATTTTTGCTCTAGATCTAGATCTTTTTTTTATATTTATTTATCTATTTTTATAAACGACTTTTATCATAAAATGTGTTTTTGTCACTCGGTAAAGATCTATATGTTAAGTGTATGCTACATCGAGTGTATAAGCAGATTAAAAARTCTGCCTCAGTTCTGCCTCTGGTTCGAGTCCCGCGAGAACCCAACTGAGGCAGATTTATTAACCTGCTTATACACTCGATGTAGCATTGACTTAACATATAGACTTTTATAATTTCAAGTCAATTCTTTTCCATTTCTTTAGAAAGGACGTCTATTTTCAGTTTTGCTAACATATTCACGGTARCATTGACAGTTAAGTACCCTGCTTGGCAGAGATTTCTTATTTCCCCCTCTCTGGCGAGAAAGGAAAAGAAACCTCTGCAAGGACGTGTTTGCTGCGCGTCTAAAATTCTGGACGGATACTTAGTAACCGCGCGCTTTTACAAACATGAAGTCCAGGCTTATTATGTAAACATTAACACACCGTCCCATAACAGCCGTCGCTTTCCTGTAGTTCTCTCGCTTTCACCAAACTCACAAAAGTTGCAGTCGTTGTGTTTTTTACTAGATTTTAGACGTATTTTCCAATTTATAATTGAATTTTAATCTAGAGGTGTTTCAGTTATATTTCCAATTTAGTACAAGTTTTTTTAATTCAACTTTTTATACGAGTTTTGTGAGCTTTTGATAAAAGAAAATGT